TACCGAAATTGTTGACGGTGTGGGTCACTTACTCTATGACCCAGCTGAAATCTGTGAAGCATTCAGTGACCTTTTTGCCACTACCATGAGCCGTGAAACTGACCCGGTGTCTGTGTGCACAGTGCTCACAGAAACAAACCTCTTAAGCGGAGTCTGTATCTCACACAATGCTATCCATCAAGTTATCAAATTAATCAGGCCATCTTCCAAGCTGGGATATAATGGCATTTCCCCAACCGCCATTGAAGTAGGAGGAGCTGATATACCATTGCTACTGATGCGCATGTTCACTCTATAGCTGGAAGCTAGCCAATTTTTAGACCAATAGAAAACATCATTTATTATGCCTCGGTATAAAGGAGGTCCCAAACAAACGATTGATAACTACCGACAACTTCACCACACTCTGATAATCGCTCGGCTATTTGAAATGCTGGTCAGAATGGAGATGATGAACTTTGTTGATTCTATTGGCCTGAACAATAATTCGCACAGCATGCTTTTCTTACTAAGCGATCGTGCACCATCTGTCAACTGCATTACCTTAATCACATTTCAGAATCAATCGATTCCGGCTATGCAGTAGTAATCTTGTTTCTTGACATACACCAAGCGTTCGACCGTGTACCGCGCAAGCGACTGCTACAAAAGTTGGAGAAATTTGGGATCCGGGACCCATTACTAGATTGGTTATCGTCATACCTGAGTGATCGTCATCAGGTAATCACTTTAGGTGATTATCGCTCTTCCCCACCCCCAATCACCAGTGGAGTCATTCAAGGGAGCGTGCTCGGTCCCCTTACTCTTTTTGCTTTACATCAATGACATCACCACATCTGTAAAACATGGTACATCATTTTTATTTGCTAATGATATCAAACTAGTCCATAATTTTTGACGTGACGAGCTTCACGGGACATTACTGCTCATTCAAGATGATTTACATTCCGTTGAGTCATGATGCTGCACATGGGTGATGAAACTCTCGGCTAAGAAATCAAACATCATGTCTTACGGCTGCTACATCCCCGAAGGATCTATCACCCTATCCAATGAACGCGTCAATACACAGTTGTCCACTCAAGATCTTGGAATTAGGTACTCGTCTACGATCAATTTCTCCGAACAGACCCGATACCAAGTAGTACGTGCCAGACCGTCTATGTTCAATATATCAAACAAAATACACACAAATCGTGCCAGAGTTGAGCTTTTCAAGCTAGTCACTCGCCCAATCCTCGAATACTGCAGCATAATATATGGAAATATGAGAAAGAAAGATAGAATTACAATGGAGAACCTGCAGAGGTCATTTACTGAACATCTAATTGATAAACACTCTGCTAGGAGTTATCGAAAACGTCGCAATGAACTTCATCTCGAACCACATTGGGTTTGACGATCGAAGCACAACTTGTTGCTGCTTTTCAACATGTTACACAAAAAGACCTATTTCAACCTGCCTACACTCAATTTACAACGTTGTTGAACTCGAGCGCTTCGCAAAAAATATTTTACATTGAATATACCGAAGGCTAGAACGAACGTCCGCTATAATTTCTTCATGGTCAGATACAGCTCTCTGCGGAATAAACTACAAATAACAGTCAGGTCATGTGACAATGTGGCAACATTTAGTAGCAGACTCGCCAATTACCTTGATCTAACTACCCTAAGCTCTATATTCACATGGGAAAAATCCCTCGATGAGCTATTCCAAGAGGGGCCCAAAAACATATAAGCACCAATGTTTTCATAACTAGGCTTTAGCCTCAACCATCCGGCAGATTGTTAATACATGAAACGCATATCCCAATACTTCACCTATGTATGTCACCCAAGCAAGAGCATGGATTCTTCTATCCAAATTGATACGTGCGGCTATAGCCACAGTTTCTCTCATCAAGAGGAATATCCGTATTACCATTATTATTAGCATCTTCAAAGAAACTACGATAGACAAACTGTACACTGTGCATCCCAATCAAGGTGAATGCTTTTTGCTTCGCGTGTTGATGGTCAATGTGTCTGGTCTTACGTCTTTTCAGCAATTGAGAATTGTCAAGGGCATTACGCATGCTACTTTCTGCAATACACGTCAAGCTCCGAATTTACTTAAAAACAACGGGATTTAAGCATTAATGATGCGTGTAACATGTTATATCCAAATCAAATTTGCGCATTGGTTGCAATCCTATTGACCCCCAACTTTCCTTCTTCTACAACAGAGCTCTGAACATAATATAAATCTGTTGTGTCGCCGCTGATGCCTTCACCCCACGACCGCAAGAAGTCCAAAGACGAGCCAGAAGGAGACTTGTATACCTGAAATCACACTTGCTTATATAGTTTTGAGGGCAAAATGAAGGGAAGCTACTAAATTACACTTGAGCCAACCAACTGAAGGAAAAACATCAAATGCAACGGCGAATAAGCAACCGTGTACTCAAGAGCGAATCGCATATGTCGTTAAAAATAACATCATTGGACTCCCAGCGTAAAGCGAACGTCCACTTACAGTGACGGGCACTGGCCAATCAGAATGACGAAATGAAACGTTTAAACAAAGGTCACGAAACAAACGAGGATAAGGAATACAGACCCAAAAGTTGAAAACTAGTACAATAAGCAATTGACAACTAACTATTCCTTTACCATAACCAAGTAGAACAGTGATGAGAAGAAAAAACCAATGGAACAGGTTCTTGCAAATGGCGCTGATGAAATGGACATGACGACGAGCGTCCATTAACAGTGACGTGGGTGTATCAATCGGGCTAACCCAGTAGAGCGTTTAAACAACAGTCAAGAAATAGAAAATAGGAAGAGTAAAGAATAGCTATCAAGCTCGTTCACAATAAATGAATATCTAATAGCTGTCCTCCTAATAAAATGGTAGATGGCTGAAGATATTTCCCGCCGAATAAGCAAAGAAAATATCATTAGGAACATGGAATTTTTAGCAGAACTATGCAACGAAACGCTGACAATGGTTAAAGGTTTATGTTTAAAAAATCGCAAACAAAGCTCTTAATCAATTAGGAATGCCATCACTGATTCGATCTTCGGCTGCTTTGTTTGATGTCAAATCGCATCGTGAACTACATTACAACACGGGCGATCTTTCGTCTTAAATGCATTCCAACATTCCTAGGTTAACACTTGAGCAAAAAGGCATTTAGGATTACATACTGCAAACGCGCAACCACTCGGTTGGAGCAATTAGATCGCAAAATAACATAGTCTTAGCTCTCGCGTCCTCCGAAATGCAAACGACATTGCTATCCGGTGGAAGAATGGCTCATTCCGCTTTGAAATTGAATTGAAAATTCAATTCCTTGAAACACCTACATGCAACGCTTCTAAACGGTCCAGCATTGGAAAATTATTGCAGGAGTGTAAACTTATTGTTTGGGATGAATGCACAATGGCGCACAAAAATGAGCTGAAGACACTTGATCGAGCATTGCAAGATTCGCGAGGTACGAGCAGACCCCTTTAGGGACCCCTTAATGTTGCTTGCAGGATATTTCAGGCAAACGTTGCGTATAGTTTCTCGATCTACACGTGCGGACGCAATAAAAGCTTGTCTGAAATATCCTTCTTTTTGGCGTCACGTTAAGATGTTACAATTAACGGTAAGTATCCTGTCCAGCTTCAACACAATCATTCAGCTGAGGCATTCACCCTACAATTACTGGAGATTGGGAACAGAAAGTTGCCTGTTTGTCTGACCTCAGGAAGAAATTCATTGATTCATAACTTCTACAATTTTGTAATGTCAAAGAACTGCTTGACAACTTAGTTCTAATATTCCAACCACTTATTAGAATCATGATTGGCTGAGTGGACGAGTTATTCTTGCGGCCAAGAACAAGGACGTCGATGAACTGCACATTATGATTCAATCTAACATTCTAGGCAACGTAGTCCCATATAAGTTCATCGACACGGTGTTAGAAACAGATGAAACGATACACGTGTAATTAAACTAAATGTATTAAAAAGGTGAGATTCCTTGTTTCTAAACTTTCATTTAACACTACAACGGAACAGTAAACAGTATTGCTAATCTGTAAGCACTGTGAAACTACATCCATTACAAAGGTGAGGTTTTCTATTTTGCGCTATCATTCACGCACAAAGAGCCACAGCGACGCGTGGCCGGATACAGCTACTTATATATATATATATATATATATATATTATATTATATTATATATATATAGCACGTCCATTTCTTGCGAATCACTGTAGTAACGTTCGACCACCGTAGCCTTCGCAATTTAGCTCACATCTGGGGGAACACCGCGTGAGCAACGTGTGTGTTCGACGCTTTGTTTACGGCACAAGAAAAGTAAATGAACCGCTCACCACCGTTATTTCAGGCACCAGGCTCCGACGGCTCGGCCACGTGCTACGCATGTCAGCCCACCGACTCCCGCGAGGTGCGTTGTCTGAGCTCCCGGGAGGTGGATGGAAGAAGAGGAGGGGTGGCCAAGCGATGACTTGGTCGAGAGGAATGAAGGCCCTCACTTCGGAAGTGGCCTCGGTTGGAGGGTCTTGGCTCCCTGGTTGGGGTCTAAAAAACGATGAACACATTTGGCCGGATACACTTGCTGATATGGCTAGGAGCGGATCGCAGTAGCTTTGGTGCTGTTAGTTTCTTTGTCCCACTCCATCCACTCCAACCACGATCTCACTATGTAGCCTTAGATAATTTTGCATGGGTAATTATTTTTGTTGATACATGGTAGCCGGCTGGTTGCTTGCCGGAACGATGCCCATCCGTTATCGGTGGCTCAGCTGGCTTACACCTGTTGCATTTTACTCTCTTTTTCCTTTTAGTTATTGCGGCACAGTAGCTATGTTTCCAGCCTCTGGCTAACGTGTATAATGATGATGATGATGATGGCTGCAGTACCAAGGGCCCAGCGTCTAGGTCGAAGTAACACCATCACGGAGAAGTGTGCACGTGACCCGACAGAGTAATCCATACGCCCATGCTTCGTTCAAACGGTGTCCATTTGCGCCCCTAACCGTAGTGGGGCAGTGGGGTATTTTCAGTCCGTATCTGGAGCTGGAGTGGAACTATGGATCGTTCTACTCTAAGAAGAATGCGAACTCTAACCGGATTAATCATCCTGGTGTTTGTAGTTTCCTGCTTGATGCTACAACTTCCCAAAAACAGACTTCATGATGAGACAGAGAAAGTAAGCCGTCAATTTTGGTGGATGTGTTACAGTTAGTTTTATGAGAGGTGGATAGCAGTGTAATTAATACTTGAATGATATTTCATTAACATTTTGGTCTCTAGTTTCATTCCGAATCGCCTTCACCTGAACACTACCGCCACTAATGTGCAGGCCTGAATGCCAACATCAACATTCATCTTCATGCCCTCACAGTGTTACATGGGACCAGACACAGCGATTCAATTGAATCTGTATATTTCAAGACTGGTGTTGAATGTTCGGCTGGTGAAGCGGACACAAGTGCGGTTCAACCTTATCTTGCATAAAGTGGATTCAGATGCTTATATGGGGAACGGACAAAATCATGGAAATCTGGGGGCAAAAGGCTGTTAGCAAACCACATAAACCTCAGGGTCCTTAGTCCACTTTAATATGAGTTTGATTAATATCATAGTGCTCTTGGTATATATTTGCTCTGGAGCCTTGAGCGCGCGAGATCATGCCTTCGCTAGCCTTCCAAACCTGGGTAGCATATTCCGATTCAGGTCCTACGTAGAAATAAAGCATCTGTGGGACGACAGATGGATTAAAACCCTTCAAATGTCCTTCATGAAAACGAACGTAATGGATCCAAATCTGGGACACCTTCCAAGGCCACTTTGAACAATAGAGACCATCTTGCTTTTGGACCCCAAAATCTATCCTTTGAGACAAGTCCTAAAAGCGGCCTCTTGGAGCGCTTTATGTGAATCACTTTATATGCAGCCAATAAAACTGGATCACATTTTCTAATGGCCGTTTATAAATGGTGTCCAGGTCCCGATGAAATTCTTGATCTATTTTGCCATAACGCTGGAAATCACAAACTGCAAGTTTATGGTCCTTAAATACTAATGTAACTTTAGTATAAGGATATACCCGGATTACAGATTTAATTCTAATTTTTACGGAGCCGCTCACATAGGAGAACTTGAACCTATCTTTTATTCGCAGAACTGAATAGTTGAAACACCGCTTTTATAAATCAACGCGGTGCACTTGACCGCCGAGTTGTTGTTAACAGTCCTGCTCATGTCCTTGACTTATGCATTGTCTCAGAGTGTTGACACTTAGACTTAGGGATCACAAACCTACCGTGTTATTTGAGTGCGCGGGTTGGGGTCTGCGCAAGGACTGGCCGACCTTCGCAGTATACTTAGGCCATGCGTGACTGGTGGTGGTTGCGCGGCAGCGAAGTGTCGGAGTTGCATCCAGGCCTACTGCTGATATCCTTATTCATTTTCTATATATATATATATATATATATATATATATAATATATATATATAATCGCTGGCTGCATCTGGTTTCTGATTTGCCTGTCAATGTGGCCAGTCACAGGACGCCTGCGCCTACAAAGGGGACCATGAGTGGCTTGCGCTGCAACCACCCACAGCTCCAAGCACACACCCCATCTCCAGTGTAAACCCAAAGGAATAAGATCAGGAGGCATGTGGATGGGAGCCACGTTTCATCAACGGAACCGGCCTACACTCCTTCATAGGCAAAAACAAGCACTCTGTATTTGGGAATAAAGTGCACACAAAGCGGTGGCAGGACCTTGGTCCGCTCCACACTGAGTGCATGGAACCACTCTTCGAGCCTAACCCGGCCAAAAGGACTGTGCACCCCGTCCCTTCTAGCAACGACTAACTGTGTCCTGGAGCCAGTATGAATGAGATAGTGCGTAATAGACAGGTAGGCACTTGGTTAATATGCATATCAAGCGCAGCTACACCGGGGATGTCAAACAACAGCCAATCAATTCAGACGACGATATCACATAAAATAAATCGAATAACGCACATGAATGCGGTGACAACCCTTCCCCAAGTTAGCGTACGAAATAAATTGGTTGCAAAAATCCGCGAAAGGTTCAGTAAGTCAGAAAATGGACCTTAAGAAAATGTCGAAACAGCGAAATTGTTATCGAACTTAACTACAATTAGCTTAAACGTTATGTGCAACTTTCTAGAATATAGTTCAGGTAGACATTAATAGGAAAACTATTAGGACAATATAAAAAACCCAACGCCTAAAATAAAGAGACTCAGCACGCTAGCACGCGGTTAATAAATCGACTGCAGCGTGCCTACAAAAGCTGCGCCGTTTCTGCCTACCTTCTCCGCAGTACCCGTCTTCGCTTCGGTGGTGGTCCCGAGTGGCCTCGCCCATGGCTCATTAGGCCTGTCTGACTCAGACACTCGCGACCGTAAGTGCTATAGCAACACGCGCGCTGTCGATGAAGTACAACACACTGGCTTCTGTCGCGTCCGCAATTGTCGCTTCTTCTCTGCATACATGAGCGCTTTCTCTTGCACCTCGGCAACAGCCTTCGTGATCAGATCGCCCCATGCACGCCGATCAACCGCTTTCGATTCCCATGAAATGCAAGCAAGCTTAGAAAGTGAGAGACTCAGTTTGACCATGTCCTGGTAACGTAACTTCGGTTTCCCCACATGCCGCTCCCAAAAACTCAGCTGCCCAGATAATAGTTGTTTCGGTATCCGCGTCGAATCTATACGGCTCACATGAGTGAGTTACCTCAAGTGTCTCAGCAAAAGTGTGCAGTCCACTGCATACATCCCACTTCGGCGCAACACTTCCGTGTCCGCAACTTGGTCACACAAACCGATGCGCAGAAACCGTCGCAAAAACTGTTGATGCAACCGCTCGAGATTTCGCACATTTCACTGGTAAATCGTCCACGTTTCACCATGGATTTGTACACCAGCAGTGTCGTGCCAACGGTAAGTTGATGGTTGTTCCACCCTCGGTGCTCTAGCTTACCGAAAGCCGCCGCTATCTTATATATATATATATATATATATATATATATATATATATATATATATATATATACGTTAAATTCAGGTGGAAAACACCTCAGCTATTGTGCTGCAAGACAAAAGAATAAATGCGGTGGCACGCCGGCTGAGTCCCCAGTAACAGCTGCACATCGTTCCGGAGAACTTTCAGCCGGCTATCGGGCTGCAAAAAGTTATATTACGCCCATCGAATTAGGTCATTATGGGACGGCGATGCTCAACAGGAGGGGATGGACAAAGGAACTCACAACGCAAACGCCGTTGTGGCTGGCTTCTAGCCACATCAGCAACTGTGTTCAACGAAATGTGTTCATCATCCTTAGGATCCCAGCCAGACAGTCGGAATGCACTAACCGACGCTAAATTCGAAGTGAGGGTTTTCATTTCTCTCGACCAAGTCATCGCATGGCCTCCCCTCCCCTTACAACCGCTCCCCCAGCGCGCAAACCATGCACCTCGCGGAAGTTGGTGTGCTTGCATGCGCAACACGTGACCCATCCATAAGGGACTGGTACGTGATATAATGGTGCTGAGCCGTTCACTCGCTCTTCCTGCACCAAATAAGGGATGCTGAAAAGGTACATTGCTCACGCGGTGCTCCTACCAAAACTGAGCTAAGCTGTGAAGGCAGCGATGATTGAATATGACGAGCCAATTTATGTCTGTCGACCTGATAGGCCAGGTTTCACAACCATATAGGAGAGTGGTACGGACGACTGCGTTATAAACTCTGCCCTTCGGGGCGAGAGTAATGTCGTGGCTGCGCCACAAGTAGCGCATATTATCAAAAACATCTCAAGCATTTGCCGTACGGTATGTAACCTCATCTTCGATCCTGCAGACACTTACTTGAATTCCTGAGCGACTTCTAGGTGATCAAAAAGTGTTAACGCAGGGGTGGGTTCCTGTCAATCTTGCAGAAGTGCTTTGCATTTCGATGGATTAAAGCATAGCCCAAAATGATTGATAGCCAATGTTAATCGGTCCAGTGCCACTCGACCTGTATGGGAGCTGTCACAGATTAGGAAAATATTCTCCGCGTACTCCAAGTCAGGAATTTGCTCTACAGAGAGTAACTCCACACCTTTTAGCTCGTGTCCAGTAAATGCACATTCCATAACTTCGTCTACTGCGAAGTTAAATAGCAAAGGTAACAACGGGCAACCTTTTCTCACACCGATGGTGAAACTGAAGAGTGGCGATAGTCTGCTATAAACCCTCAGTCTGCCCGACCTATGCGCGCACAACGACTTGATATGTTTTACCTATCTATCAGGTACGGCTTTCCTTAGCAGACAGTTTCAAAGAGCACATCGATCGACGGAGTCGAAGGCACCTTTTCTGTCAATAAACATGACAACAGTGGGTCGCTAATAAACATGGCAGTGCTCCAACAATTGACACAAGCTGAATATGTGGTCGATGCAACCACGACCTCGACCAAACCCGGCTTGCTCTTCATGAAACTGGATTTCACTAGTGCCAGTCAGTCTGTGGAAAATGCCAGACGCAAGCAAGTTGGAGGCAATGGAGATCAGACTGATCCCTCTACGATTGCCGAATTCCGAAATGGAGCCTCCCTTGAAATTTGGAAGAATGACAGTGCGGCTCCAGGTGGTCGGGACAGCTCCTGGTCCCAAAATTTCACTAGCAGTTCGTGCAAATGATATACTAGATCAGGTCCCCCGAATTTGAAGAGGTCTGGCGGAATTCTATTTGCCTCTGCAGTCTTATGCAATTTCAGCAGACGGATCTCACGTACGACTTCAGCGCGTGAGGGCTGATCCTAGGAGACAGCCCATATCAGTCAGCCCGTATCAGACGGAATAACTTGCGATGATTACCAATAGCAGCGGCCGTTTCTATTTCCGATGCATGATAAGACCATCCGGCTTTGCGGTATCTCTTCAGGCTAGCACGCGATTTCTCCATGAAAGTTTTGCGATCCTCATTGTATTCGATTCCAGTCGGAATACGTCGGCCAGCATCCTTAAGTTCCAGAGACTGTGTAGAGACCCAATGTCCAGGTTGGCAATTTGATTTGCCACATGAAGACATGGCTGCCGATAGTAACGTCTGATGAATATGCCACCAGTGATCTTCAACGGTGTTCAGTGGGCGCTTACTCAGCCCGGATGTCAGCGCACTTTG